ACCTCCTACTTCGGGCCCCACAACACAGTGTTAAGGCTAAAATTAATTATATAAGCATTTTATTATTTCCAAAAAAACAAGTTTATAAATATTTACAAGAACATACTCCCAAAACGGGAGGTTTTTCTAGTTAGAATTTACATATAATACATCAGATGCAGTTCACTCATTCAGCCCGTCTTTCTATCTCCCGAGACGTCCCCTGTCCCGGAGGTGCCATGCGTACCTGAATCAAATATTTTTCTTAAAAGCAGTCTAGAATTAAATCCATTTTAAGAACTAACGTAAAATATGCCATGTTATGCTCGAAAATAGAGTTTAATTTCCGTCATTTGCAAAATAAATGCCATGCCATGCCCATACTGAAATAATGTAACAATAATGTCAAAATCGACAACTCATGCACATATACCCATATACATATGTCAAAGTGAGCAGCCGGAATAACCTCGGCTCCATAATAACGGCTCACTAGACTATCATCAATAAATAGCCGGAAAATCCTCGGCTCAAGGAAGGACCTGGTAAACCCATAATAATATAACGGTCACCCGGTCACTTCCATATACCCACCATACGACTCCCGCAATCAATACATGGATAGCCGAGCGTTGTCGCCATTAACCACAAGACACCCCATAGTCTGTGATAGCGAAGATAGGACCCTCCTGTCTAGCCCTACCCCGTGTAACGTAGTAGAATCCGTGCAACCTGGAATCACCCGAAGGAAACCCGGAAACTCTACTCCTCCTCGCACGCCCTAACGGGATCGCGTTTGGAGTTTGGCATATGATCCTAAACTACCGGTAGACCTCACTAGTAGCTACTCCAATGAGTGGAACAACACCGAACACGAATGATTAGACCAAATACGTCTCAACTGCAATGGGTCTAATCCCTGAATGACCGTGCGACTAAGTCACCCAGTTGTCCGACTACTATCGTCCACTATCGCCAAAGTGTTACGGTACATCGGGGTCGAATATCCTAACCCCAGATGATGCCCTCGCCTAGCACTACCGCACACGGCGACTAAACGATAGATCCATAAAACATATCCGATAAATCGTGCGATGTGTGCAGCATGTCAATAAGTGAATTTAATGAAAAGGGCTGGTGAGACGGCCCACCTATCCTCCTTTTCATAAATTCACCAACACGATCAAATACGTATATCAAATATCGTAAAACGAAGTTTCACACATGCATATACACACACATATATACATATATAGATGCACTGACCAAATGATTCCACATAATATCATATCAATATCAGAATCAGAATCACATGCAACATAAATACCTAATTTCTTAAAATTAGATTTAATTCCCTACTGCTTACCTCCTACCGATACTTTCTGGATTTTTATAACTTCACCCAAATCTCCTCCAACGTACACCTGTCCCATTATTTACTCAAATCAGATGAGCTTTATGCTTATTCTCAGGAGCTACCTGCTTATTCAAAAGCTAATTTCTATAATTAACTCGTCGGGCTCCAAACTTTTATATTTAGTAGAATATGATATTCTAGCTATAAAATCCTTCTACCTCATAATATTTATATTGTCCGATTATTAAATAAAAATACGCAAAGGTATGAACAAGCAGGCAGGTGCAATATACTGCCGTTTTTTATTCGACTTGGATTGGTACGAAATTCTCAGAATATAATACTAGGACTATGAATAGGCTATTAGCTAAAGAAATTCATCGATTAAGTAGCTAAATAGCCAATTTTGAATTTTTGAAGAATTTCTAATTTAATATTCCCAATATTGAAATTCATATTAAAATCCATAATTAAATTCTATGTATAACAAGAAATACAATACCGAAGTCGGAATCAAAATCGGACAGCTAAATCTTTTTCTTCCTTTTTTTTTTTTCTTCTCCTTTCTTCTTCTCCTTCGCGTTTCGCTTCCTTCGCTTCTCAGCTAAAGTTTGTTATATATATATAATTATATTATTATTATATATATTATATATATTATATTATATTATATTATTATTAACGTTATTATTATTATTATTATTATAAATATTATCTTCATCATCATTACTTTTATTATTATATTATTATTATATATTTTATATTTATATTTATCGATATTTATCCGTTTAACAGTCTTTTCAATCATAATCAATATATAAAATAGGAATAAAATTTATCCCAAAATATTAATTTCTTGATTCCATTACTATTGTCAAATATTTATTTGCTATAATAATATTATTTTATACATTCCGAAATCGGGGCATTACACTAACGATAGAGAGTAATACCGTTGAAGTGGGCGTAGTGTGCTGCTCTTCTTTGAATGTATGCTCATTTATGTAGGTTGTTAAAAAACTTGTCATATTTTAATATATCCATGATTATATGTATAATCATATATTTGTAATTTAAATATAATAATAAGATATTATTATTTTTATTAATATATAAGAAAAATATTTTAAATGTAACATACAAAAATAAATAAAAAATATCCTTTGAGTTGACGGAAGGAATATTTTTTATTTTTATCTCTTTAAACTACTTCATCTTACTCAAGATGCAATCTCTCATTCTCTTTCCTTTCTTTGCCACCTCTTATCCGTTTTTGTACGTTAGGCGAACCATGTGTTGTAACAAGTTCACAAGTTCACTCCCCAGACCACCCGGCCATCTCTTACGGGACTATAATTATTAATGAATAGAAATGTTGTAACATACTCCTTACATCCGTCTCTAAGGGTAACATTTACCTTTTGCGTCATTATACTTGATCCCAAAATATCCTTATATTTGTATATTTTTTTGTACAAATATCCTTCTATTAGTATTGTAAGACACTAATGAAAGTATTTTTGTAATTTTTTTCTTAATTTGTACTACATTTTGATATAATAATTAATATTCAAATATCAGCACACAAAAAGTAAATGAGACCCTTACAACCAGACGATGGTAGTATATTATACTACTATTTTGTATATTAATATTTTTAACTTTATAATATTTATTATATTATTATTCAATATATTAATTTATTTTTATTAGTTTTTAATACTCCCTACGTCCCAGCTAATTTATCTCATTTAGCTTAGACACGGAATTTAAGGTATTGTGTAACTAATAAGTAATTAAGAAATGTATTAGTGAAAATAATTATGATTTAATAAAAATAATTATAGATTAAAATTAAAATGATTAAATAGTTTAATTAAAATAATAAATTATAAATTATAAATTTTTAAATATGATTAAAGTGTATTATTATATTTCCAAAAAAAAATGATAAATTATGTGAGACGGACGAAAATAGAAAGAGTGAACAAATTAAGGGGATGAATGGAGTATTATATATATATAATTTTTTTACATAAAAAATAAATATATAAATAAAATCAAAAAGAAAATTTATGATTTTTGAAAAAAATTTGGTATAAAAAATTTAAAAACTAAATATAAATGCTTATAAACTAAATTCAACTAAAATATATATATATATAAATATCTAGTCCACTTTGACCGGAATGACAATGTAATGACTTCAGTAATACATATTTATTATCATAATAGTATTTATTTAAATATTAAATTCATATTATAAAAATATATATTTTTAAAAAAATTGATAATCATTCTGTAGTATATTTTAATTTTAAATTAATAATTTTTAATAAAGAATTATAATAATAATAATAAATATGATCATATTATTTATCACTTATACAATAACAATAACAATAACAATAACAACAACAACACTAATAATAATAATCTTTAAAAATTTAGCAGAGAGATTTTATACTATATAAAATTTTCATAATTTTCTACTAAAATCAAAGTCTATATATTATTGAATAGCTCGAGATTTTAAAGGCTTAAATGAATAACTTAAGATATTAAAAGACTTTTAAATACTCCATATTTTGATCCGAGTTAAATACACTTAAATTTTATAAGTCTAACAAAGTTTCATGTAGAAGTGTGATTGAATACACTAAAAAGAAAAGAATTCCTCCCGCAAAAAATAATGAATCCCTTTTGTTTCTTCCGTTGCCATCGTCGACGCTGATTCCCTTCTCCTTTGACAAACACTTGCTGTTGATTTGGATCGAGAATTACGAACACGCATCGCTAATAATCTTGAAAGACATACAAAAGACTCCTCTAACTCCAGCAAGACTCCGACAGAGAAATTGTTAAAGAGCGAGTATAAATTAGCTACACCATAAAATAGCCGGTCGAAGTTGTAAAATGGAGTCGCATTTCTGTGATTTGTTTTATCCTGTGTATGCTTTATTCATTACTTTGATAGATGTTCAATGAATTTTGATTTTCATGTATATATATATTTATTATTATTTTTGGGACTATTTCTCAATTGCAAAATCATTGTTTCACTTATTCTTATTATTTACTAGCTTTGCTTTGATTTATTACAACTTGATTTTTATTATTTTCAAGTTTAATTTAAAATTAGTATTTTATACTTTCATCAAATTTATTTGAATATTTAACTATTATTTTTTGTTTTAACACTTATTTAATGTCATTGTCTTTATTATATTCTCTCATCTTTTTTTTTTATTTATTTATTTCTACTTTACTTTTCAAAAATATCACAAACTACCTTTTTATTTTTATCACTTTTTAAATAAAATATATATTTACCCAAATATTCTAATTTTTGCTGACGAGGGAGGAAGTAACTTCTATTTTTGTCTGTCGGATTTAGTTTGCAGTTCGGCGAGGGTTTACCAGGTGCACACTTTCAGATAATGGCGGTAGATTTTCACGTCATAAATAAATAAAAATAAAAATAAAAATAAAAAAAAAAAAGAGAAAGGAGAATGAGAATGAAAAATGAGAGAAAATGAGATATTGCGTCTTGACTATTGGAGAAAAAGAATGAATTTAAAAGAAAATTACATTTTTTAGATTGCGTCACGTCACGTGGCCCAATCTTAATCTTTAACACTGGAACTGGAACAGGAACACATGTTCCGGCACGCACTGGAACACATATCGCGGGCGCCGGGTCGAAATGACACTCTCACGCTACGAGCTGCCACCCACCCAACCCGGATAAGTGGCTCATATCATCATCATATCCTTTGCGTTTCGCCTAAACCCCTTCCCTTCTTCAAGATTTTTAAATTTGATCGGAAACTCTAACCCAAAGCAAGCAGCTTTTTGATCCGCTGACGCCACTCTAATCCCACATGACGATTCCATACCCCGCCTGAATCACCCCGTCGAGAATTGGCTCTATGACGTCAGTATGCTCGCTGGGAGTGGGACCTGTTGTTTGTGGTGCAAGGACGATTCCTAGAACTCGGAAGGAGTCCTTCACCGGAAGCAACAGAAATGTCGTTATCTCCAACAAGAAGCAGCCACCGAGTGGCAATGGCGGCGCGTTGGGTAATATAGCGGAGGTGGCGGGGAAGGACCTGACCTTTTTGAAAACGGGTTTGAGCAAAGGATGGGCATGGGCCAACAAAGCATTTCACATTCCCCAAGTATCCAAGGCAGCCGAGGATTTGCTATGGCTGCGGAGTATAGAGGATCCTCAGGCTTCGTCCTTCCAGTTTCCGTCGTGGCCTCAGCCTTACTATCCAGGTACTGCATCTAATTACTGCTCTTAGTAGTTGTTGTTAATTTTCAATTTGAATTCGATTTTTAGTATAATAAAGGAAATGTAAATTAGGTATTTGATTTGAAACTTTTTATATAAAAAAATGGGTGGATAGTGAAAATCTTACAAAATCTTTCAAACAAACACAGCTAAGAGGAACATTGATTAGACTGTTATACTACACCTATCATCAGTGTCCAAGTTCGTTTTCGGGAGGCCATTTGAAAGAAAGTGTTTGTTCAGAGCAGTTTCAAAATGGGGGACAATCTTGTGAAGTTTTCTACGGTTCAAAAACGGGAGATGCAAGAAAAGGGGAAGGCCGAAGAGTAGCAATCGTGGACTAAAAAGCCGATTAAAAAATTAAACTTAATATACATGTAAATAATTTCAACTTGCATGTGTTTTGAACTACTCTTTTTAATTTGTAATAGCCTAATAGGATAAAATGACAATGGTGATGATAGAAAACTAAACTGACAATTGATAAAGAAAATACATGTCATGCATAAGAAAGATGTGATAACTAAGAGCATGAACTTTTGAGTGCTAGTTGCAAAGCAGCAGTATAAATGCACGACAGTTCCTTTTACTTTCTTCAAGTAATGAACAAAGCCTGTGAATGTTAAGAGACAGACCTATAAATTCCTAAAATATTCATTTGAGACTGTGAGCTAAGATAGGTTATTTTAAATTTTTATAAATATTTGATATGTTCTCAAGTTTATATTGTATGTAAAAATTTAATAATAGCAGTCATTATATTACTTTTGTAGTATATTGTTGTAGGTAACTATGTACATAGAGTGATGCATTGTTTGTGTTAAAATATATTTAGAAGTAATATATTATATTTATGGTAGTTATGTTATTTAAGAGATTCGTAGGATTCTTGTCTTACGATTTATATATCACTATAAATATGTGCGTATTCTTATGATTGAAATAGAGAATTTCAGTTTCATATTCTAACAGTTTGGTTCAATGGAAAGTACAGGGTTTAGATTTCAATGGATCAAAACTTAAGCTGTCCTGTTTTTCCCCTAAAAAAAATCACTTTCGTTGTGTCACCTCGAGTATTTTTCAAAATGGTCTATCTCAAATATGCACTTTTAACGGGCTTTGTTGTTGGTAAATTGTCATGGCTGGTGTTCGGGGTGTCTGTTTGGTTTACTATTAGTAGTCTGATTACTGTCATTATAGCCTTATTTCTGAGGGCTGTATTAACAAGATATGATCTGGAATCCCGGGCCATGGGGTGCTCTGTGCACCCCTAGCTTGTGTGCCTAGTGTAACTGTTGTTGCTTGTATAGGGACAAAGTTTTGATACTAATAGTGCAAGTAAATCTCAAAAGAGTTTTGCAGCAACACTCATGTTATTTGTATCAATTTGAGGATATTGGGAGTGATCATGATGATGGTTGTCTAATTACAGAGTTATAAACTGTATTGTTGTGCCCCTTCAATTTGAGGGAAAATGCCTAAAAACTATTTTGTGTACTAGTGATTTGTTTGTGTGTGTGTGTGTGTGCGCATTTTGTCTTGAATTTTTAAGGTGAGATAGTTGTTGGATGTGATGTTTTGAAAGGAAAATTAGTATTGGATGTGATGCTTTTTTTTACAGAATTTGTAGATTAATTAATAAAAACTAGTTATAAAAATCACAAGCAAATAAACCTATAGTTATTTTCACAAAACATGGATATGTTCCTAAATCATATTTTATAGATGTAGTTGCATTATATAAGTTCGGTGAAATAGTGATTCTAATTAATCATGTTTTGATTTGAATCTTACGTCCATTGTCAATATTGTATTAACTCAATAGAAAGATCCGTGTATTGTTTTGTTCAGTGGGGTAAATACATATCTGTTTCCAATACAGACACACATGCACAGACAAATAAATAGGTTTTAACATATGTGTATGCAGAGACGATGACACAGTAAACCAGTATTAATGTAATGTTTGTTACTTTGTTTCTCGCTGCTCAAAAAACTTATGATACTATTTTACATTGTATTTCAGAGTAACTAAAAAGCCTCACTCCATTCTGTTTTATGTTTTCTTTTTCTCTCTCCTCCTAGAACTTTCTGGTGTTGATTTGTTTCTGGCTGATCTCAAAGCCTTGGAGGTGTATTTTGGTTACTATTACTATCTATCCAAGATGTGGACAAAGCCTCTTCCTGAAACTTATGATGCAGAAAAAGTTACAGAGTATTTTACCTTGAGGCCTCAAGTTGTGGCATTCCGGCTTCTCGAGGTAATATATATTAATGTGACAAAAAAAAAAAATAGTCTTCAAGCTGTGTTTAGCTTTGAACCAGTGTGTAAGTACAAAACTCTAAGTAAGCAAATTAATTTGGTGCTTGTGATTTAACAAGGTGTGACATGTAGTAATTTAAAGATTAGGAAATAGTTTGTAGAGCTGAAATTAAGAGAAAGATCAAGAATGGAGGAAAAAAATGAAGAAAGGGAAAGTGAAGAGAAGTAAGAATTAATAGTTATGATGCATGGATCATAGACACTAATCGCAACCTTCAATTGCTGAGCAAACTGTGAGCTATGGACCATTGTAATGTTAATGTTTGTTTTCTGTGCATATCCTTCTTCTTGTTGAATTCTACAATTGGCTCCGATCTTAGGTTCTTCATTTACTCTATGAAGCTGTTTGTGAACACCCAAAAGTGTTGCATATATCCTCCTGTGAAATGACATGTCTTTTCCTGCTAATTGAATTTGCTTATGCATGAGATGCCTATTTATTTTACGCTTGCTGTTTGCTGTCGAATTAAGGGTCCTTGGTGATAATTCAGAGTTACTGGACAATTAAACAGTTAGAGTTGTTGGCATATCACTGTTACAAATTCTTATATTTTTCCTTGTATCTTTTTCTGGAAGGTCTTTACTGCCTTTGTTTCAGCCACAATCAAATTCCAGATCTCCAGGATCAGTCCTGCTGCAGATAGTAATGCTCATGAGAACAACTCCAACTACAATTTCGGGATAGTACTAAAAGATACAATGCTAAATTTGGGCCCCACTTTTGTGAAAGGTGATGATAAAGGTTTTGTATTAATGCAGTAAAAGATAGAAGACAAGATGGTTAAAGAGCTTGCTTCATCTATCTACAGTTTTGTTGAAGTATTCTAGATTAATCGTGATAGTTCTAGTATGAACCTGTAATATGAATATTTCTTGAATAGTATACCTGTTTCCTGATGCAACTTTCTATTTCTTTCTAGTTGGTCAGTCCCTTGCTACAAGGCCCGATATAATTGGTTATGATGTTTCAAAGGTACAAACCATTTCAAATCTGTGTGAATATCTATGAGACTGGGAAATAACTGTAAAAACCAATAATATGCCAATCACTGTCTTATATTCTATATTTGAGCTAACTTTGCATCTTGTAGTATGTTATTAACCATACTTGCTTCTATCTTTTGTTCGCTTCAGAGAAAATAAAGTTTATTATATGACATTTTTTTTTCCTGATATTTCCTTCAAGACTGTTAGTATATAACTAAAGTATATAACTAAACTTCTGGTTCATTGAGTTCTGAGCAACGTGGTTATCCTTGGATCAATTTTCAGAAATGGTGTTAAATAATTGAGATCCTGTCTCCCAGTCAATAGAACACATTATTAATTACTATGTTTATAAACAGTTGTGCTACAAAATTAGCATTTCATTGTGCCTGTAAAGTAAGCCACACACGGATGTGCACACGCACAACTCAAATTTCATTGTTCATATTTCATATTTCATTTTCTGGTTTAAGTTATGATTGCAGGCATTGTCAGAGCTGCATGATCAAATTCCTCCTTTTCCCCGGGCTGAGGCAATGAAGATTATTGAGGAAGAATTGGGTTGTCCTGTTAATACAGTTTTTAAGAATACATCTGACGAACCTGTGGCTGCAGCTTCATTTGGGCAGGTATAGAAGGTTTCCATGATGTTTTATGTGCTCTGGAGTTCACCCAAGTTGTGATAATTCTTTGTTGACTTAAGAGAAGAAGTGATATAATGTATCATATGATTAATATTTATGCATTGATCCCATTTATCTTTTCTGAAATGTTTGTTGGAACTTTGCATAGGTTTACAAGGCAACTACTCATGATGGTTTAGATGTTGCTGTGAAAGTTCAACGTCCAAACTTACACCACGTTGTTGTTCGAGATATTTACATCCTTCGTATAGGGGTTTGTGTCATGCTCCTGTTCTTACTTTTTATTGTTATAAGAAATATAGGATGCTGAAATTTTAACTTCAACTATTTCAGCTAGGGCTTTTGCAGAAAATAGCAAAGAGGAAAAACGACATTCGACTGTATGCAGATGAACTTGGAAAAGGATTCATTGGGGAGTTAGATTACAACTTGGAGGCACAGAATGCCTTAGAATTCATGGTATTTATTTTGTCAACAAGTCTACTGTTGTTCTTTACTGTATGGTTTCTTCTTCAATTCCATCAGTTTGCAATATTGGATAGAGAAATAAGGAGCAAAAAGTTTTGTTGCTTCATTTCTCAGCACTGCGCAGTCTGTCACATGGAAGTTATAGTAGATCTAAAAATGCAGTGTCAGATTAACATAGCTAGTTTGCTATATCTTCCAGACCTTCTTTTGAAGACTAAAATAGTTCATTATATAGGATGAATGATTGCATAGTACAATGGACATGGAAGAACAGTAGAATTTAAGAAATTATTCCCGCAGTGGGAGAAAAACTACCCTTGGAGACGTAGCTAAATCAATTAGAAATTTGTGCGCTACCCCAAGCGCCTCGTTTAGCAACAAAATTAGAAAAGCAGGTTGCGCTTCTAGGTACATGTTGGAAGATGACCAAAGGGCATCTAAAGATGAAGTGATGCAGTTTGTTGATGCCATACTTAAATTTCCATGGACCTGATTTATCTGGAATCCATCCGACGGTTGTTTTGTTGTTGTTGTTTTTTTTCTTTTTTTTTTACATTGAAGTCTAGAAGAGTTTTTGCCAGTTCTCATTTTTACCCACAAAAGTGCAATAATGTTGCAAGTGCTATTGCAGTTGATCTTGAGAAGTGACGTTGTTTCCTATTATTCACATTGAGTAGCTTTTTGTTTGATAGAGATGCCCAAAAAAATTTTATTTATGGAAGTTCATGTTAAAGAGTTAGGTGTAAAGACCTTGGCTTTCTAAATAAGGCCTTCACAATTTCAACACTGCGAAAGCTTTATGTATACCTTTTCCTTGCATTCATTGTAAGATCAAGGACAGGGGAAGAAGATGATTAATGCTATCTCTGTTATTTCAATTATATTTCCTTAAAAGAGATGCATCACTGTAGAAGCAAATATAAACTTGAATTCTATTTTTCAGAGCATGGTTATGTGTGATTTAAACAGTCACCCTTGGATCAGTAATTGATTGATTCATCTGATAAAATAAACATGTAGTTGAAGTCATTGCTTACTTGGCTAAATCTTGGCCATACATTGTTGCTTCTTTTCAGCACTGTGCAGTATTAAACAACAGTGCTTTTTGCCTTGTTGCTATATTCATCGGGGCTGGGATCATTGGGATCTGCTTATTATGCTGCAAGAATGAAAACTCGGACTTTCTTTCTAGTCTAAAAACACTCATATTAGCACTGAACATCTTTAAACCACTATGTGCTTATTTCTTTGCAGGAGGCACACTCTCGATTCCCATTTATTTGTGTACCAAAAGTGTTACCACATTTGACCAAGAAGAGAGTTTTAACCATGGAATGGATGTTCGGTGAAAGTCCAAGTGAGTTAATTTCTGCATCTTCCGAGGAGTCTAAAGAAAAGCTTCTAGATCTGGTATAGAGATCTGTCCAAATTATTTTGTTATCTAAGTGTTTTATCTAATATAAGTATGCATGTATGTATTTAGGGCTTCATTTATTTTACATAAAGGAACCTTGTTTTTGTTATTTTCAATAGCTATATGCAACATAAACTTTCAATTAAGTCGAATCAATTCATTTCTACAAAAGCCAATAAAACCTTTGTATATGAAATTTTGGAGAATACAATATCGTTGTCCTATTAGACTTCAATCAGAAAAACTACTACTACAACTTTCAGTTTGTGATAGCTTTAGTGTATTATTGTAACTGTACCTGTGTAAGGTTGCATAGAATTGTATGTTAATTCAAATTAACTGACGAAATTTTTATGCTTTTCAGTTTTTAGATTGATCACACAATTTAACATAATAAATCCATCAACTCGTCTCATTGTTTTTATTCCGCATACTGTTCTCTTCTCACTATGTTATTGACTCTTTTACCTGAACTCCTTTAGGTTAATAAAGGCGTGGAGGCATCACTTGTTCAACTTCTTGATACTGGAATAATGCATGCTGATCCGCATCCTGGAAATTTACGTTATGTACCACATGGGAAAATAGGGTATTCTCCTAAAGCTAATCCTCTTTGTTATCAACTGCATTTTATTATTAATTATAATAACAATTTTAAATTTGATTTTTGGCATAGAATTCTGGGGTCCAAGCTATTCATAACACACTTGACTGCTTCTTTTTCACCTTTTTAATAGGTTTCTTGATTTTGGCTTGATTTGTCGGATGGAAAAGAGGCATCAGTTTGCTATGCTTGCTTCGATTGTTCACATAGTTAATGGAGATTGGGCATCCCTTGTGCATGATTTGACTGAAATGGATGTTATAAGGCCTGGAACTAACTTACGGCGTTTCACTTGGGTAGTCTCTACATTTGGTCCTTCAATTTGGTAGATGAGCATTTCTGGCTATATGATTTATGGTTATTGGCATAGTTCCACCTGCATTAGCTCATCCTATTTTTTACTTAGATTTTAATCATTGGACCTGCAATCTATAAATTGATACAGGACCTGGAAGATGCCCTGACAGAGTTGGAATTCAACAACGGTGTTCCAGATGTTAAATTTAGTCGGGTGAGGGTGATTTCTTTGTTATCTTATTTGTAGATTATGTCAGCTGGCCATATGGCAGCCATTTGACTTGGTCAGAGCTTAATTGATTCACAATTCAACTCGGTGAATAATACCTTCGGGTAGTTAGGAACCTTAACACTTCTAGTTTTGAATGCTGCTCACATTATGTAATTAAGATTACTTTAAGATTAAAGAAACTGCAAGTGAGTTCTTACCATGCAATGGTGGATGATCTTGGACAAAACTTAACACTTCGCATTCCTGAGTCTTTTTATATTCTAACTTCATACAATTCTTTACTAGTATTATGTATAAACACAATTTGTTAGTTAATCGTAAGAGTAAATTACACCCTAACTCGTTATTTCCTGTTTTTCTTGTTAGAGACATCTCATTATCAGTGACCTGATCTGATTTGGTCTTCTAAGGGCACATTGAGATTGCTTTTGGGTGTCTATTTCAGTTTTTCTTTTCTCTTATTTATCTGATTATTAATAGTTTATAATGTAGATACTTGGCAAAATTTGGACTGTAGCATTGAAGCACCATTGTCGCCTTCCACCATACTATATACTTGTCTTGCGCTCTCTGGCTTCTCTTGAAGGTAACATTTCTTTTACTGTTATAGGAACAGCCCAAATTGAGCCATATTTGAGTACATGAGGCGTTCTCCTCTTCTAATACTATTTCCAACCTTTGTAATCTAAACGACCATTAATGACAGATTCTCTATAGAACCTTCAGTGATGTCTTATCTCATATGTGTTGAAATATATTTTAGGTAAATATTTTGGTTGATATTATTTAGATTTGTTAGTTACTATTTAATCATATCTATTAGATTAACTATTAATTAGGTTATTATTTAGATATATGGTGACGTAGAAGCCAATTTGAGTTTTGATGAAAACTGTTAGATGAAGTAAATGACCGTTTTACTTAAAAGTTTAAGTTTTTAGGATACGACATCATTTAATTATTTATCTACAAACGAGAGTCATCCAACACACCCCCTCACGGGCAAGGGGATAAATGCCACCAAATGAAACTTGCCCGTGGACAACAACAAATGGGGGACGATGGGACTCGAACTCAAGACCTAAGACTCTGCTACCAGGTTAAGAAGGAATTCGGGCTTCTAAACTAAAACTAATTGGTGATAGGTAGAGTAACCCTTCACCCTCATAAACCAAAGGAGTTTCCACATGTTTACTAATGTGAGACATTCAACAAAAACATAATTTGACATGGAATATGGACGAACTTTGTAACTGGACATTAGCATTCAAATTGATTAAGTCGTATTGGGGCGTTAAACTTTAAGAAACTAGGATTTTTGTCAAATTAAGATTTCCAGTGGTAGCAATTCTCTATCGCGGGAATGCGTTGGCGGTCATCTGTCGCAATGGTGGTGATTTTAATAAATTAAAATTTTGGCCAAATTAGAATTTTTAAAAGCCACGATCCTCTGTTGTTGCCGCCATAGCAACGATCCTTTGTCACTGCAGCGGCATCAAATTAGAGGTTTTTATGAGAGCGATCCTCTGTCATGGTGGCAACATTGGTGGTCCTCCATCGCTGTTGTGGTGCTAAACCCTAAGAAATTAAATACTAACAGGCAAAAATTTCAAACAGGTAATTGAATACCAAACTAGAAACTTTATCAAAAAACTGAAACAACTTAATAGATAAGTTGAAAATATCTCAATATATTGGTTGTCACTAGAAAAATTTAGCAATTGCACACCGAACACACTTGCACATGCGGCCAAAGTCGGCAGAAATGAAATTGTTGACCGATTATATTGACCAAATGTTGACCAATGCAGGTAACTCACATGCCTTGTTTCTTATGATGATATTTGGTGGCAGTTGTTTTTCAAATTAAGAATTCAAATTAAGAATACAATGACGATGGTGGTATAGGTCAAATGCATTGTAAGGTGACAAATAGAAAGGATTAGAATGGGATGTATGTTTTCGAAGTGGTTGTGGATCTCAAATTGAAATGAAGTCCTCCGAGTATATTCTAAATCACAGGGATGTACATGGAGAAAATTTGGCTCTGATATCATGTTACATTCAAAGAAAAATTTCTAAGATATTTATTGATAATAAAATTAAGGTCTATTTATACATTGTATTTATATATTATATAAAAGGATAAGGTTAAATAATAAAAACTTAATCTAGTAGATATGTCTAAACAACAACCTAATCTATTTAGATATATCTGACTAATAACAACTTAATCTAAATATGATCGAATAATAACTAAGGAAGTTACTACTTCTTGATGATATAGGATTGATAAACATATTTATTGGTAAAATTCTTTACTTCTATATTTTCAATTTACTGAATAGGACATGTTTAGTTTAAGTGATTGATTAATAAAAAATGCGATCCTACCTAATCATATATTCATCAAGCATGATTAAATTGTATTCATAATGAAAATAGATGCATGACATAGACTCGATACACTCAAATAATAACAATCTAATTTAATGGATATAATAACCATATAATAATGATAATTTAGATAATAGAAATCCAATATAAAGTATAAACTAAATCACCAACATGTCCTCTCAAACTCAAGTGATGAGGTCACATAAATAACTTGAGTTTGCAAAGAGAAATTGAAAATGACGTAGCCATAATTGTTTACTGTGTCGGACTCAGAAGCAGTTTTTTCAATAGAATTGGAGTCAAAGACGAGACATGCTCATAATTGAGTATTGGAAACGAAACTCTCAACAGAGTCGAAAACGACAGGACTCTGAACGCAGCGGATACAGAGCTCTGGAGACATGTCAGAGATATGACTCACTCTATTCCAGACATAAATCAAAATTCTAAACATAATTAAAATTAAAAGTAGAAAGACTAACAACTATAGGTAGGATCTTAAAATTGACAGACCTGCAGGCACATTTCAAGTACCCGGAAAAATGTGGATTAGTAGGATGTATTTATTCCGGAAGAAAAATAATAGGTTCTAATATTATGTTAAAATTATTCTAGTGTTTCTATGGTTCTTATGAATCTGCCTGGTGGCAAACCCAAGCCTGCAACATAAGCATCATGATAACAATTCTTCATGAATCTTATACGGTTTGGCGTGTTAGTTTCATTGCCCAAACTGCATTTAGGCATTTAGCTATTCACATTGGTTACCCATACTCCCATCTTGTTACAGGAGGCGAAATTAAATAGGTGAATGGTATTGTTGCACGGGAAGTTCGCTGGTATCTGACTGTTTGTGACTGAACCTCTAATTCTATTATGCAGATGTTGTATGCTCCTAAAGCTATTGGCATTTGATCCTATCCCCTCCACATCTACCCCTTCCACCCTGTGCATTTTGAGCTTTTTTTTTGTTTTGGAATTCAGAAGGAATATATGTATATATTACAAAAATGAGAAATAATCATTTAAGGGAATCAAATTAGTAACAACATATTCTATTTTAACAAACTAATCTCAATATATATCATTCCTTAAAATACACGACATGCCTTTTTTCCATAATATACATACTAGAGAGTAGACATTTCATCCCCAGCTTGGATTCACTAATCTCAAATGTTGAGCCACTTAGGTGTACAAATTAGTCCACTATCAAGTTTTTCTTTGATGAAGTGTTTATCAACTTCAATGTGCTTTGTTCGATCATATTGAAGTAGATTGTGCACTTCGCTAATAGTAGATTTGTTATCACAGTAGTTTTATATGGCTATCGCACTTGAGCTTTAGGTCTTCCAAGATAATCTTTTTACCCAAAGCAACTCACATATGCCCTGAGCTATTGATCTAAATTATGCTTCTAGATTTGACCTTGCTACTACATTATGCTTTTAACTCCTTCAAGTCACTAGATTCCCTCCAAGAAAGACACAATATATCAACGATAGAGCCTGCATAATCAACATTAGTTTATGCATCAAGAGCTAAGCTTAATGCCTTTTAAGAAATTGTAATACTCCGAAGTTGAATAGTGATATGAGTCGGGGAGGATGAAATACCCCTGAGGTTGAATAAGAGGTTAAATGGATTGAATAGACTACTCATGTCAACAATGTGCATATTTATTTTCGGGAGCCCTACTAAAAGAACTTTAGAGTTGAGTGTGATTGCCCTATACTAATTTGAGGATGGGTGACCCCTAAAAAGTCTCCCAGGGTGCACGTGAGTGAGGGCAGAAGCGCCTAGAAGGACTCGTTTTGACCTGTGAGGCCAGTCTACGATCTCGACATGCTCGACTTCGTATGGCTTGCGGGCTGGGGCGTCACAATTTGTATCAGAGCCGACCTGACCTGTGGAGCTAGTCTACGATCCCGACATGCTCGGCTTCGCGTGGCTTGCAGGCCGGGGTTTCGCAGTTGGTATCAGAGTCAACCTGCAACAGCCCGAAGTCGTTGACCGGACTGGGGACGAGCCTAGCAGTTGATGGATCCTTGGGTGCAATGTGGACATTGCATTCTTAAGTCGGGGAGGATGTAATATCCCGGAGTTGAATAGTGATATGAGTCGAGGAGGATGAAATACCCCCGAGGTTGAATAATAGGTTAAATGGATTGAATAGACTACTCATGTCAACAATGTGCATATTCCTTTTCAAAAGCTCTACTGAAAGAACTCTAGAGTTAATGTTTGCTCTAGAGTAATTTGAGGATGGGTGACGCCTGGGAAATCTCCCAAGGTGCGTGAGTCCGTAATTTGAGGATGGGTGACCCCCTGGGAAGTCTCCCAGGGTACGCGTGAGTCCGTAATTTGAAGATGGGTGACCTCCTGAGAAGTCTCCCCCTGGGAAGTCTCCCGGGTGCGCGTGAGTCCGTAATTTGAGGATGGGTGACCTCCTAAGAAGTGTCCCCCTGGGAAGTCTCCCAGGGTGCGCGTGAGTCCATAATTTGAGGATGGGTGACCTCCTGAGAAGTCTCCCAGGGTGTGGGTGCGCGTGAGTGAGGACAGAAGCGCGTTGAAATGACTCGTGTTGACCTGTGGGGCTAGTCCTCACTGCTTGGAGATCAACTTTTTCTGGATTGTGCATGTTGGATAATCGGTTATTTTGCAATCGATTATTTTGTGAGTGAAAATGCGACGAGTCGGTGTACCAAATTAATTATATTAATTTGGAATAAATAAATAAATATTGTGTATGGAGTTTGCTTAATATTTTGGCTATTTTGCCTGTCCCGAGACAAACCAAATTGTGCAACCCCAAATTAAATCCGGGTATATGGTCTAAGTCGCAGTATTATTTGGATAAAATATTATCCGTTTGATAGATTTATTATAATATCAAACGGAATGTTTGAAATTAGAATAAATTACAATTATTTCAAACGGAATGTTTGAAATTAGAATAAATTACGATAGTCACAAACGGAAGGTTTGTAATTAGAATTAATTACGACTGCTTCAAACGGAAGGTTTGAATTTATAATTAATTACATCGATAATTAAGGTCGTAATTATTATCGTAATTGATCCCTTGCCATTTTGGCCGAATGGAGACGGCTATATAAAGAGCCTCCCCCTTCACTCTAACCAACACAAATAATTCTCTCCTCCTTATCTCCTCTCTTCTAGCCTTCTGACAGCCTCTTCAGCTCAGTTCCTCTCTCATTTTGTTCGCCGGAGCTCCAACGATTAGAGGTGCTACTCTCATTGGAGATGGAAACCGTTTTATCTTTGGGTTAGAACGTCATCCACCGGAGGCACTATCGGGGCGTATCTAATTTTCGAAAAGATGATTCATCCTAGACTCGGTTTCACATTTATTCTTGCAATATCCATATATTCTCGCAATATCCATATATTCCAACAGTGCATAATTGACTAACTACACTTGCTGCATAGACTATATCTGGGAATGTATGAGCTAAATTGATGAGTCACCCTCTAATAGTTGATATGAATCTTTACAGTAAATAATCTTTGAACTATAAGGGGAATATGTGCCCTCATTTTTATGACAGTAGTTGTATATTGTCCAATCACTTTTTGTTTTTTCGTATATCTTGTTTGTTATTAAGTAATCGCCTCTAATATGCTTCACTCTGTTCAATAGGACTGGCAATAGCTGCAGATCCAACATTTAAGACATTTGAAGCTGCATATCCTTACGTAGTCCAGAAACTTCTTGTTGACAATTCTTCGGCTACAAGGAGAATTTTATATTCGGTACGTGTAGATGAACAGTACAATGATGAATACCTTATAAACATAAAATTGATTGTCTTCCATTGATATTGTACTATTATGTTCTCAGAGAGATTTTATGGTTTTTAGCGCTAGTAACTCGAATAAATGCAAATATATTGTTCGATATTGCAAGGTTGTATTCAACAGAAGGAGAGAATTTCAATGGCAAAAGCTCTCTGTTCTCTTAAGAGTTGGATCGACAAGGTATAGTTATACATTACCAGTCTCGGAAACTAGTGAAAATAGAATTGGGTTAAGCAAGTGTAGCAAATCGATTTCTATAACCCAGGTCGCCATTTCACCCTCAGGAAAGGACTTCTATCCTTGGCGCCGTCAAATGCTCAAAGTTCTCCTGGTCGCTCTATAAATGCCGTATCCCCTGAAGTTAACCTTGCAAACCTGGCCCTGAAACTTCTACCATCCAAAAACGGCGTTGTCTTGAGGAGACTTCTAATGAATGCAGTGAGTACATGTTTCTTACCCCTTAATCTAGTGTGCTTGGGTTTGTTTTTGGCCTTACTTCTCATTATTAATGCTTGAATTTCTGGCTATACTTGAAAATGTAGCTTCAAAGTACTGGAATTATGTTTATTATCTTCGCCATTCAAATTTACACTCACTCTCATTTTTTGGGCTAATATAAAAAAAAATATTCTCATTTATCTTTTTTTAAAAAAAAATCATACTCCCTCCGTCCCACATAATTTTTCTCATATTTTTTATTTTCGTCCTTCCCACATAATTTATCATTTTCTTTTTTGGGAATATGATTATACACTTTTAAATTTTATAATTTTCTAAATCTTAATTAAACTATTTAGTTATTTTAATCTTAATCTATAATTATTTTTACTAAATAATAATTATTTTTACAAATATACTTTTTAATTACTTACTAATTATACTTTACCTAAATTCTCGTATATACAGTTATAGATCCAAAAATATGGGACGGAGGGAGTACTATTTTTTGTATTTTTTTCTATTGTAAAAGGCAAAAAGTAACATTCATATTAAAATTTATGCCGAAAAGTTTAAGCACACAGTTGGATAACAGAAAGAGTATTATTATTCTCAATTTCGAATCTCAACCCTATTTCTTCCAAACAGGATGGAGCCTCATTGATACGGGCAGTAGTTTCAAGCGAGGCAAGTCCCTTCCGGCAGCAACTTTGCAGGGCCATCGCTGACATTCTATGCGAATGGATGTCTAAACCTTTAGGGAAGGGCCTCAATCTCTCTGAAACATCACTTTCTACTTCCAACTCCGAGCACAGATCCATCCTGAGGGACCGCCGACTCAAAGTTATCTTCCTCAACTCCTTGAAATCTGCTCGAAAAGATCCCATACTAATGTTGAAATTCTGCTTGGCATCATTCACCATGGTTATTGTCGCTGCAGCTTTGGCTTGTCGCAGAATGTTAGCTTCTCTCAGTCGGGCATATTTGAGTCCTTTATCCTACAAGTCGAACCAAGTTGCAATGCCGGCGTGAACTGTTAGCTATAACTCTACAGGAATTACTACAGGTTTGGAAAGTACATATCAAATGCTTTGCAGTTGTAACATTTTATGTATTTGTACAGCTCTCTTTAAAATGAATGTATGGTTTCATTTTGTGAATTTTCGCCGATTGCTTCTGCCTGTAAGCACTGGAAGTGTGGCACTGAGGTTTAACGAGTCGAGTTCAAATTCGAAAACTACTTTGATATTATTCATATAACCAGGTTCTATTATGACATAATGAATGAACGAACAGGTTGAATTGGCCTATAACCATGGCAATCAAACTTATGTTCTTGCAATCTGGGTTCATTTCAGATGTTTTTTACCATGCAATGTTTGTAATTCAGAAAAATACATTAATTTTATCCTAAACTATTATATTAAAATATTTTCTTCATCTCATATTAATCTTAGGGAAGAGAGTGTTGATTTTAACATGAGATATTAATTTTGAGGGGATAGAGTGCACCCTGATCACTAAAAATTTATAATACTATCTTCATTCGATTCTAAGGATAATATTATTTTTTGTACGTTGATTTTTAAATATTAATTATTATATGAAATGTAGTATAAATCAAAGAAAAATAGCAAAAATACTTTTATTAATGTCTTATAATATTATTATAATGATATTTGTGAAAAAAATATACAGGATATTTTTAATATTAATACAATGACGCAAAAGGTAAATGAGACTCTTAGAGTCGGAGGAAGTATATAATTATATTATTTGTTTTGAATAATTATGTAAATTAAAATAATTAATTTGATGTGATTCAACATTGGTGTCGAACTTATATATTATTACAAGACTTGCTTGAGATAAATACATTATGCTATTTGATAAAAATGTCCCAATTTTGTATTCGAAGTAATTACCATACTCCTACTTTTTTAATATATAAGTGTAGATTTTTATACTTATACAAGAATATTTTTGTCCGTACAATTTCTAAAACTATGTATTGTTAATATATAAAATACTAATATTTTCTTATAAATACAAAAAGTAATGTCTATAAAATACTAATATTCTTTATAAGTACAAAAAATAAATATAGAGTACATGCTAATTCTTTTGTGGAAATTTGAGTAGAGTTGATTCAAATGTGATGTAATATAATGATATTTAAGGTGAATATATATGTGTATGTATTAAATGGTCTATGTTTTAAAATATATTGAATATTTTTAAAGTAAATTTATTTTAATTTGTAGTTTCATGAATAATAAAAGAATATATATATTTTTTTAAAAAAAAAATAAGATTTGATTGCGTATGTGAGAAGATCCTATTATATCACTTTCACTAAATTCTAAAATTGAATTTAGCTCAGCATATTCGCATTTGCATACTCGCATCTTTCAATAACAAATTTTTAGCTTTATCTATATATAATTGTGATCTTTGTTAGTCAATTTATTTATTTAAAACCGATGGTTCATCATATTGATATTCAAATTTGAAATTGGTCAACGAAGATGAAATTGATGATAATGAAAAATGCAATGGCTAGAGAAGATCTTCAATCAGTAATAAAGATTGTGTTCGTTTTGTGAGTTTTACTGTAGGTTTTTATTATTCGGAGTCCTTTTTTTTTTTTCCTCCTCTAAAACTATTGCATCAAATAATTTATTTTTTTTATATTATATTACAAATTTATTACATTCAAAATATCACATCAACCTCTATTTATATTCCATCAAACAACTATTCAAATTCAATTTTTGCTATTAAAAATCCAAACCCAAAAACTAAAACCCACGAACAAACACACTTGAAATTATTTTATGCATTATTATGCATAATTTGTAATAAAGATATATATATATTAAAAAAAAAAAACCCTCTGCTTCATTTATGTTTGCCATCTCAATCAAATGTAAGAATGTTCTTCAAAAGAAAACTTAGAAATTAGGCATAAATCAAAGCATTCTGTAAGAATTTTCTTCGAAAGAAAGCCTTTAGGAATAAATCAAAGCATTAAGTAAGAATTTTCTTCAAAAGAAAGCTTAGAAATTAGGCATAAATCAACGCATACTTACAAAATAGTACTGCGTCTTGGAGAAATAAGCTTTTGTTGTGATATTATTACAGGAATAGCCAATAAAAATATTAATTATCTCTACCGCTAACCATTATTTTATATTTTGTATTATATTATATATATGGTGTATATAAATATATATATATATGCAATAGATATATGAATAATATATATATGTATAATGTATACAGTGTGTGTGCGTGTGTATTGATATAGATGAATAGGTGTGTGTGTGTGAGAGCATTAATAAGATAGAAGGTGAAAGAGAAGTGAAAGCTATCTCCATTCATTTAATTGTTGGTCCATATTTATACACAACTAAACCCCATAATGAAGGAAAAGCATACAAATGACTACGTAGCCTTTAGGTGTATCATACGTAACTATTATAACATCTTTTTCTTTTTTTTTTTTATTTTTTTTAAAAATCATTTTGAGTTTAATTAATATGATTAGTTCGATGTTACAACACAAATTAGCCAAACGGATATATTCTGACAACACATAATATAGTTAACATAATATATTATTTAATTTAACAAAATAAATATATATAATAGATTATAGTAAATAAAGAGAAAATTATTTTTGGTCTCATTCAATATTATAATTATTAATTTTGGTCTCATTCAAATTTTTTTATCAATTTTGGTCTCACTCAAACGAAAATTTATCAATTTTAGTCTCAAGATAGTTGACTGGGACTGAATACGGCTGTATTCAACACGGCCATGTTGGATGACTCAGAAGGTAACTGGGCGTCCCAGACAGCAAACACGGCCGTGTTGATTAGCTTGCACTTCTGAATACGGCCGTGTTCATTATTATTATATTGCAAGAATATACTTATCGAAATAAATTCAATATCACAATAAACAAGTTAGTTATCGAAATAAATTCGATATCACAATAATTTATTGAAATAAATTTCAATAATCAATTTATCGAAATAATTCGATAATCACGTTGAGTCGAGGTAGAACCTCTTTCCGTAAAAACGAATACGTCCCGATAGTGTCTCCGGTTCGTGGCGCAATGTTTCCAAAGATAAAACGACGTTCGTCTCCGAATTAGGTGGCACCCCAATATTTCGGAACTTCGACGAGCTAAAATGAGGAGAACCGAACTATATCACACAACTTGGAAAGAGAGAGTTTTGCCGGATAAAGAATCGGAAAACTCTTCGAAAAAATTGGATTGTCGCCGGATGTATAGGAGAAGAGAGGAATGAAAGGTGGGATATTGTTTATGTTGAGGTTGTGGTTATGTAAAAAATGAGAGAAGATGAGGCTTTATATAGGCAACCATCCGGTGGGTAAATTAATTCACAATTGAATTTTCAATTTATTTTGTGAGTTAATGGTTTTTGAAACCGACCGTAACCGATCATCCATTCAAATGCAATTTGAATCATATACACGTTAGAGTATTCAAACTCAATTAATGCACACTTACGTGCAGTGGCGGACTTAGGATTATATTCGAGGGAGGGCTAATTTTGAAATTTATAAAATAATATATTTTATTTATAAATATTTATTTGTTATCCGAAAAAATTATCATTGTGATTATTATATTTTAAAGAAAATGAATACAATTAACGAACTATAACAATAATAATAGTTATATATTGTATTATAAATATTTTTTTTTCTATTCCTTCAGACAAGATATACAATTTTTTTAGTATTTTTTTATTTATGCACTTTCTCTATATTACATACATTTAAATAAAAAAATATATAAATTTAAATAAGTAAAAAAAAAAAAAACCTGGAGTGGAGTGGGGTGGGAAGGGGGGCTACCCCACCTCGGTCCGCCCTGCTTACGTGCATCATTATTTATAATAAATGCATCATGCAGCACGTGCATATGCATTCTATGTGATGCATTAATTTGCTTGAAATAATGCAAATATAAAATTGTCATGCATTATGTCATGCACGTAGGTGAGTATTACTTACAATCATACATGTATACAAATGTATTTTCGGGTTTTTTCTTATTTTTATTATTTTCTTGGGCTTCGATTTCAACAATATATTTTATTGTTTCGATTGGTCTCCGGAGCATAATAGACTTTGTCAAGTCTAATACCCAAGTCTTAACCCGCGACTATATTATTTGATCCGGGTAAGCGGTGCGCCAGTGGTTTTTCGGCATTTATATGCCTAAACCATATCTTATAATTATTATAAAATCCACATGCATTTCAACTCACCAAATAATCGATTTTGAAAATTATGAATTTAATTTATAAATTATTTTTCATCGATTAAATAAATAATCGATTAACCGATTATTCAACTGTTTCTGCCCATGTTCTTGTCCATGTTCTCAACATAGTCACATTCCTGCTCAGGTTCTCAACACAGTCATGTTTTAGGTCATGTTCACGATCTTGTTCTCAACACAACCATGTTTTAGGCTATGTTCACGACCATGTTTTCAATATAATCATATTGTAGAATGTGTTTATTATTATTATTACTTCTTGGTTAAAATTATTTGATATATATTTATAATTCAACAAAAATATTTTTATTTCTATCTCTCTCTTCAATTAACAAATATTTTTATCTACCTTTAAAACTCCTTATTTTTTATAAAAATAATTTATGGTAATAATGAATAAATAAATATATATTTTTATTCATTTGTATTATATAAAATTTTATTGTCTACAAAATAATATCTATATTGCATATATTTTATTGAAATATAATTTTAAAAATATTTAAAATACAAACAGCACTACACATATAAAAAATAATAAAATAGTATCATAAACTATTATTAATAACTTAATAATCTACACTACCTAAAATACTGTGTCCCTAACAAAAGGGATCATCTTTCGCGGGACGAATGGAGTAATAATAATGGTAATAATAATATATAATTATTTGTTTCAATCCGGTGGTATTTTTACGCGGTATTGATTTCAAAATATATTAAAATAATACTCCATCCGTCCCATGTAATATGGGTGTATTACTGTAAACACGAGAATTTAGGTAAAGTATAATTAGTAAGTAATTAAGAAATGTATTAGTAAAAATAATTAT